AGCGCACGTGCCCTATAGCAAAAAACCTCCCCCCCCCAAAAAAAAAGTACAGTATTTTACTTCTTTGGTGTCATACTCTGCCCTAAGATATTTAATTTGACCTATTCGCAATTGAATCTTCAAGGAATTATTTTCAATACTCCTCATTTTTGCTTCAAATTGGATTGTTCGTTTTCTGTATATCCTATACATCAAAGCTGTGGGATCTGCTGCTAAAACTTAAAGTTTTCCATGAAGATTAAATACAGTTCTTCGGGACCAGCAGTTAGCATAATGGCTATGTCACTGGACTCCCATGTAGTCAACCGCAAGTTTGAGTCCCGGACCTGGTGGCTTAAATTCACGCCGGGCATGTGTGCATGCATGCCCAAGATCCCAAGAGGAGAATGGAGGAGAAGGGATTGCGGCGTTGCCATCCCCCCTGGGGGGTGATTTCTCGCTTTCTGTCTGTCTCTCTCTGTCTTTCTGGTGAGCACATGTACCCTATAGCAAAAACCTCTCAAAACAAAACAAAACAAAACAAAAAAACTCTGAAAATTAAAAAAAAAAAATTAAATATAGTTCTTCACTGGATCTGGCAGGTGGTATGGTAGTTAAGGGTGCTGGACTCCAACATGGCCAACTATGGTTCGAGTCCCAGACCTGGTGTCTTGCTTCCTCTCGTCCCCTCTCTCTCTCACTCTGTTCTTCTCTGGTCAAATTAAAATAAATAAATAAACAAACAAATAAATTTAAAAAGATAAGGAAAATAACTCTTAAAAAGAAGACTTTTTAAGAATATAGTTCTTTGGTCTTCATTTTCTCAAGAAAGGCATCATATTCTTTTTTGATTGAAATAAGGATGGCTTTGTATGCATGGCATACTCTTACCTTATCAAAAGCATTTCGGTATATGATGTAATATTCATCAGCAGGTCCTTCCTCATTATAGCTCACTCTCTCAGTTTCTGTAATTATGCATCTTCGCATACTTTCCAAAAATTCCTTGTCTGTTCTGCTAATGACAGTTAGGAGAACTGCATGTTTATTTATTTCTTGGGCCGAAACGTCACAATCTATATACTCGTTCACCAGAGAAAAGTTAAATTTTGACTTGTTTTCGCCACGGAGTCAAAATTTTGATAAGCCTTTTCTCCAAAGCACTTCTGGCTGGTTCCCATCATTCCCCAAAACGCGGCTTCATCCTTTTCCAAGTTTATTTATATTCCAAGAGAGACTGACACAGACCCGCATTCTTTCTTTCCTTTTATTTATTTATTTATTTTTTTAATTTGCCAGAGGGGAGAGAACGGCTCGTGTTTTCGGCCTCCGCGGCGCCCTCACCCAACCCCGCCGGCGGCAAAATCAGAGCACCCCTAATTCCAAGTCTACGAAGCCCCACCCAGAGCTGGCCCCAGCATCTTGCTAAACTGGTGGGTTCCGCGACTGGCCCTGCTTCTGTCGGGTCCCCGCGCCAGCGGCGGGAGGTGTCCTAGGGGGCCAGGATTCCACCGGGGTGGGGCGGATGTCTCTACCGTGCGGGTTCCTCCGAGCGCATGGCCGGCCCTGGCGTTTGGCCCAATACCCGCTTCACCGAAACGCAGCCCTTCACTGCCCCGTGGGCAGGGCCGACCAGGGCCGAGCGGGGTCGGGTCGGGTCGGGCCGAGCGGGGCCGAGTCGGGCCGAGCCGAGCCGGGCCGGGCGGCCAGGAGAGGCCTGGTTCCGGGTCCCAGAGGCGCGGGTGGGAGGCCTCAGGCCGCTTTTGCGCGAGCAACTGGATGTAACCGATCGCAGTAGACGCGGTCACTGCTTCCACCCTGACGCCGTGGGCCGACGCTCGGGCTCGATTTTTCTTCGAATCGAAAAAGACAGGGTGGGAAGAGGATGGGAAATGGCAGAGGATGAGAAATAGAGGGGAGTGTGTGTGTGTGTGTGTATATATATATATGCAAGAATATATGTACAAGAAACAAATGGAAAATTATTTGTTGACGAAAACATGTAAGTTTAAGCCACTGTACAGTGTATTCTGGCTGGAAAATCGCATTTTGTATGCTGTAGTGATGTCCAGTGAAAGTATGTAAAATAAAAATAAATATATAATTTAAAAAAAAAAAAAAAAGAAGAAAAGCTAGCAGTCTAGCTAAGGGCGTCCTAAATGGGCAGAAAGGCTTCCTTGCCCCCTGATGCTCCCTGATAGGAAAAACAGGGTCAGGAAACTTGCCCTGCCCCTCGTTTACAAGCGATTTTTTAGAAGATCGCTTACACACTCTTGGAGCCTCCATTTCCGGCTAGTATTACAGGATTCCTTCCGCCCACATTACTAGAACACCAAAGAACACCCCAGGGAACTGTGCAGGCCTTATTTTCACTTCTTGCTTGGGTAGAAAGAGCCATGAATATCTAGAGTGGCAGTAAAGATGTATTTATCATGAAATCATTCTTTCCTACAAGAATTCAGAGAATGAAGTTCCTCCTGTGGAATCAGCTCATAGATGATATTGACTAGGCTTCCTCTTGGTGATCCTCACCCCAGCACTTCAGCATTCCTCTCTGTTCATAGTAGCCAGCCCAGTCTGTTACTTGAGTATAAATGGCACGAAGTAAATGTTGCATTTAAGAGATGTAATGGTCTCTTTTCGTTCCTAGTGCAGCCATGGCTCGTGGCCCTAAGAAGCATCTCCCCACAAGCTGAGGGAATGTCTTCCTCTCATCATTTTCCTAAGGAACAGACTTAAGTATGCTTTAACAGGAGATGAGGTAAAGAAGATCTGCATGCAGCGGTTCATTAAGATCGATGGCAAAGTCCGTACTGACATAACCTACCCTGCTGGTTTCATGGATGTCATCAGCATTGACAAGACGGGAGAGAATTTCCGACTGATCTATGACACCAAGGGTCGCTTTGCTGTCCATCGTATTACCCCTGAGGAGGCCAAGTACAAGTTGTGCAAAGTGAGAAAAATCTTTGTGGGCACAAAAGGAATCCCTCATCTGGTGACCCATGATGCTCGTACCATCCGCTACCCGGATCCTCTCATCAAGGTGAACGACACCATTCAGATTGACTTGGAGACGGGCAAGATTTCTGATTTCATCAAGTTCGACACTGGTAACCTGTGTATGGTGACTGGAGGTGCTAACTTGGGAAGAATTGGGGTGATCACCAACAGAGAGAGACATCCTGGCTCTTTTGATGTGGTTCATGTGAAAGATGCCAATGGCAACAGCTTTGCCACTCGGCTCTCCAACATTTTTGTTATTGGCAAAGGCAACAAGCCATGGATTTCTCTTCCCCGAGGAAAAGGTATCCGCCTCACCATTGCCGAAGAGAGAGACAAGAGACTGGCCGCCAAACAGAGCAGTGGGTGAAACAGTCTCTAGATTTTATGTTGGAGAAGTCCTCATACTTAATTAAAGATGATATAGCGTAAAAAAAATAAATGTAGTTAGCATAAGTAAATGAAAATTAAAAGATAGCCTGTTTGGATATCATTTTGTCTGTAACTTTTTTTTTTTAGCCAGAGGAGGATATACTATTGAATTAGAAAATACAGTTCCTACCCTAATAAACTTCAGAGTCAGAAGCAATTTAATTCGTTGTGTATTTGCATTATATCTTTAAAGAAATAAAAATTTTATTGACTGCTTTTTTACTTATGGTAGATCCCATATTTTTGTTCCATGTAAATCATGAGGATTCAACAACTGCACATCCTTAGAATTTACATCAAGGATTTAGATTTTTTGACTTACCTTACTTAACTTTATTTATTTATTTATTTAGACCAGAGAGGAACAGCGTGAGAGAAAAAGAGAGCAAGAGTGAGAAAGGAAGCCACCAGGTCTGAGACTTGAACCACGGTCTGCCATGTGGGAGTCCAGCATCCTTATCCACCACACCACCTGCCAGTCCCTAGTTTGTTTGTTTTTTTTATATGTATATATATTTTTTTAATTGTGACCGATTTTTCAACTTGTCTTCTTGAAATATGTTCTACTTTTTAAAAATCGATTTATGGGGACCAGCAGATGGTATATATAGTAGTTATATTGCTGGACTCCCATGTAGTCGACCACGGTTTGAGTCTCAGACCCAGCGACTTAAAACTCACGCTGGGCAAGTGTGCGTGCATGCCCAAGATCCCCAGAGAAGAATGGAGGAGAAGGAATTGTGTTGTGGCCATCTCCCCAAGAGGTGATTTCTCACTTTTTGTCTCTCTATCTCTGTCCAGCAAGTGCACGCGCCTTATAGCAAAAATCTCTCTCAACATGGCTGACGGTGGTTTGAGTCCCAAGACCCAGCAACTTGCTTTCTCACATTCCCTCTCTCTCTGGTCAAATTAACATAATAATAAAGTTAAATGAAAAAGTTATTAATTTAAAATTTTATTCATTGTCATTATTTTATTTATTTTATTGAAGTTGACCAGAGAGAGACAGAGAAAGAGAAAAGGAAATTGAGAAAGCAAGATTCCAACTCCGGGACTTGAACCATGGTCAGCCATGTGGGAGTCCAGCAGCGTTAACCATCATGCCACCTGCCAGTCCCAAGAAAATTATTTTTAAAAATTTCTTATGAGTTAAACATGTCAAATAAAATAAGTGGATTATCTGTTAAATATTTATAAACCTAAGCAGGTTATTTCGTGTGATTATTGTCACATAAATGACTGAGTTGTGAGAAAGTGCATACCATCAAGCACTGAAAAACAACTATTTTTTTTATTAAAATTATTTCCATCTAGTCTAAGTGCTTAGTTAAGCATGTGCAATATATTTGAATCAAAGCGGTTTTCTGAGAACATGAAGAGTTTCTACTAATAAATACATTTTCAAAAAGGAAAGGGCAGCCTTATTGATCAGCTGCTTTTGGTGCTGATTATATTCATTCTTTCTGTGAATCTCGAATGTGCCAGGAGCCACAGATTCAGGATAACCCCATCCCTTAAGTGCTTCAGTGCCCAGAAAGAAAGCATAATCACAATAAAAAGACAGAGAGGTAAATAACCAATGTAACATCTGTGTCCCGAAATTAATTTTGAAACTCAAGCCCCCAGTGGGCAGGTAGTAAGAGGTGTGGGCTTTGGGAAGCAGTTAGGTTTTAACAAGGTGATGAGGATGGAGCCCCCGTGATGGCATTAGCGTCCTCTCTGAGAGGAGAAGGAGGCTATGTATTCTGCCCAATGTGAGGACACTATGAGAGGACCAGCCACCTGCAGAATAGGAATCGGGCCTCCAGTACACGCAGAACTGGTACAAAGAGGAGGACTTAAAACAGTCTTCTTGGGGACCAGCAGTTGGCGTAATGGTTACGTCGCTGGACTCCCATGTAGTCTAACACGGTTCAAGGCCTGGACCAGTGGCTTAAACTCATGCCGGGAGCATGTGCACACGTGCCCAAGATCCCGAGAGGAGAACGGAGAAGGGATGGCAGCGTGGTCGTCCCCCCTAGGGGATGATTTCTCGCTTTCTGTCTGTCTCTGTCTTTTTGGCAAGCGCATGTACCCTATAGCAAAAACCTCTCCCCCCCCAAAAAAAGGTCTTCTCGGACCTAGCCACTAGAAAATCACACCAGGCACATGTGTGTGCTTGTCCAAATCCTGAGAGGAGAATGGAGGAGAAGGAATCGCAGCGAGATCATAGCCCCCTGGGAGTGATTTCTCACTCTCTCTGCCTCTGTCTCTCCCTGTCTCTTTCAGGGAATACACATGCCTTATGGCAAAAACCTGAAAAAATAAAACAAATAAAAAAACCTTCTCACCCACAGGAAGGGTTAAAAAAAAAGAAATCACTTCATAATATTAGCAGACAATACACTGAAGTGCTGCACACCTTTTAAAGCTGTTTACCCATATCAAATTATTTTATCTTCACGACCCTGTGAAGTCGATGCTGTGACCACCCCCATTTTACAGGTGAGGAAACTGAAGCATATTTTGTAACTCACCCAGAATCCACAGAGAAAGTTACAAATCGGGCCACCCCCTTTATTTTTTTTTAATGTAATTTGTGTGATTTAATAAGTTTAAACCAGAGAACAAGTGTTTTTAGTTAATAGATACAAGGAGAATGTGCACGTATCTGTTATAGATGGTCCAGTCCATATTTTAGCTGCTTGAAAAAATGGGAGGAGGGAGGGCAGAGGAAGGAGCAGAGGGGAGAGGGACACAACTAGACACATGGACAAGAGAGGAGAAAGGACAAATGAACAGAAAAGCCAGCAGAGGCACTTGGTTAAGTGCTGAGGTAATAGCACTTGCTCCGTGGGAATGTCTTGTGCTCACTTAGAAATGGACTTCAGGGAGACATACACTTTAAAATTCTATTTTTCAGTTGTCACCCTAAAAGGTAAACTGAGGCAAAGTAAAGCAAAAGGAGTTTCCTGAGGCCAGGGTTGAAGATGACACCTGAGAACCACCATAGGTGAGTAGCCCTGGATATGTGGACAGAGGTCTTTACAGACCATAAGGGGGAGGGGAGGAGGTCCGTTACTGTCTCGGGGGAACTGACACCACCCTTGTCATCAGTCGTTACCCACTGGACAGGCCGTCTCTGGGCAGGTGTCCTCACAGAAGCAGTCCTGTGTCAGGTGGCAGTGGTCTGTGCAAGGTTGTGGCTGCAACTGCTCTTTTCATCATGCATGCTTGCATGAGGAAAGGTCCCTTCCCTGGCCCTCCCTGGCTTGGTGTCATCAGGGTTTTACACAAATTGACATAAATATTCCATATCGATTTGGACAACTGCAAAATCTTCCATCCTTCCCTGCCCATAGCAGAGCCACTGCAGCCCTCCAGCAAGGTGTCATCAGACTTGTTTTCATGGAAGCAAAGCTCTGCAGCCAAAAAGTGACAGAAAGTAGGGCCGGGAGGTGACTTGGTGGTGAAGTACTGGATTCCCACATGACCGATTACAATTCGAGTCCTAGACCCAGCAGCTTGAAAAATCATGCCGAGTACGTGTGCATGCATGCCCAAAATCCATAGAAGAGAATGGGGGAGAAGGAATTGCAGTATAGCCATATCCCCTCAGGGGTGATTTTTCACTTTTGGTTTCTCTGTCTCGCTCCACCAAGCAGATGCACCCTATGGCAAACACCTAGAAAAAAAGGAAGTAGGGCTTTTGCATTCACTCAGTGACTCACTTATTGCATAATGTGGAGACAATCTCTTACTTTCCTGGGCCTCAGTTTCCTCCTCTGTACTAGGAGATAATACATCTTCTGTATCTCAGGTGTCCTGGTTCAAAGGATTAACTAATAGTATGACCACACTATGAGTGGCAGGTGGCAATAATGCATATTGGGACATCCCAGCCAGTGAGCCTCCAGGGGTCCCCTGGATACCTTCAGCCTGAGGAGCGGGAGGCTCCCAGAATCTTTGTCTTCTTAAACAAGGAAACATCAAAAAAATACACGGAAAAATGGAATTAAAATATGAGTTTTATTTTGGTGCAAAAAAAAAAAAAAAAGTTCAAATCTTGGGGCTGAGCCAGGTGGTGTGATGGTTAGGGTGGCTGTATCCCACATGGCCTACTGTGTGGTTTGAGTCCCGAACTTGGTGTCTTAAAAAAAACATACCAGGATTGAGGCATGGCCATTCCCCTAGGTGGGGAGGCTTTCTCATTTTCCCTCTCTCTCTGTCTCTGTCCTCAGTGAGTACATATGCCCTATAGCAAACATTTGGGGGGAAAAATTAAAGTTTGTGCATAGTTTTTTATAATATACACCTTCCTTGAACATTTGGAAGAGCCTTCACATTTGTCCACTGACAGCTGTGTGGCCTTGTGGTGATGCCCCAAGTAGTGGTAATGTGACCCTGGCAGCGTGACTCTCTACTGTGCTTCCCAAACTGCAAATTAGAGCTTTGCTGTTTCAAAATGCTTGGTGTGATTAGGTTATTTTGTATTCAAAATCCACTCACGTTACCAGGAAAAATATACCAATATTACCATCATCAGTGGAAGAATGTTTAAATACAATTCTGACTGTGGTGAATTTATGAATTGTAGAAGTAATGGCTTTTACTGACAATACCATGTGTTGATGAAGACACGGAACAGCTGGAACTCTGTTAGAGTCAGTTGGAAGCAACTGTACACCATGATCTAGCAATTTCACCCCCTTACCTATACGCAGCAGCACTGCACGTGTGTGTGCACAAAAAGACTCACAGAGGAGTGTGCACGGGCACACAACCACGACAGACAAACACTGAAAACCACTCAGTGTCCGTGGAAGAAGAAGGGACAAACTGAGGTTTCACAGAGTCAAAATGAAGTGTAGGTGAACCTCACACATGTGACACTGAGAGAGAAGCCAGCCCCAAAAGTGTGAATCTGTAAATTCCACTTCCAGAAGTCAGCAGGGTGATTACCGTACTAAGGGGGCAGGGAGGACTTGCTATAAGAAGGCATGAATGGGGCTTCTGGGATGTTGGTATCATTCTGTTTCCTTTCTTATTTATTCATTTTTTTTTCTGTCATAGGACACATGCACTCACCAGAGAGAGACAGAGAAAGAAAGTGAGAAATTATCCCCCAGAAGATGGCCACACTGCAGTCCCTTCTCCTCCAGGCTCCTCTCGGGATTTCGGGC